GCTGCCTCTGACCCCGCCTGTGGTGGTGACGCACGGGGTGCAGATCGTGCACTCCAGCGGGGAGCTCTTTCAGGAGTACAGGTACGGGGACATCCGCACCTACCACGGCCCGGCTCAGCTCGCGCACACGCAGTTTCCTGCTGCTGCCTCCATTGGCCTGCCTTCCCGGACCAAGGCTCCTGCTCAGGTGAGAGCGCCAGAAATCTGCCTTCTGGTCCACATGGTGGTGGAGGTGCCAGTAAGGTCCCTGAAATATGTTGTCCTTGTTGTGGATTTAAAGAGGCGCTTCCTAAATTTCAGGATGGAGGGGTGAATCACAGCACGGAGAGCCCGGGGACATGGAGGGAGCTCATTGTGGGAGCGGGTGGCGGGGCGGCTCTTGCCTGCGGTGGGTGAGGAGGTAGGGAACAGGTGACCTTTCACCGGAACCCTCAATCCTGAATGCCCAGGAGCATGGCCGTCTGGTTAAAGCCCCTTCCGGGGGCCTGGCCTACAGGAGATGCCCTGCAGCTGACCTGCCCAGGGACTCACGGCTGCTTGGTTGGGGCAGGATGTTGTTGGTGCGTAACAGACTCTGACTCTGTTCCTTTCTCTTCCCGCCCAACTCCAGGGCCTCCCTCCTGAAGGCGAGCCCTCGCAGCCTCTGCAGCCTGCGCAGTCCGCACAGCCGGCCCAGTCCACGCAGACCTCCCAGCTCAGCCAGCCAGGCCAGCCACCAAGCAGCAAGATGCCTCCAGTCTCCCAGGAGGCAAAGGGCACCCAGACAGGAGTAGAGCAGCCGCGCCTCCCAAATGTACCTGGAAACAGGCCGGCGGAGCCTCATGCCCAGGTCCACAGGGCACAGGCGGAAACAAGCCAGACCTCCTATCCCTCCCCCGTGTCTGTCTCGATGAAGCCTGACCTCCCGGCCCCTCTTCCTGCTCAGGCTGCCCCAAAGCAGCCATTGTTTGTCCCTGCACCCTCAGGCCCCAGCCCCCCTCCAGGACTGGCTCTGCCGCATACTGAAACCCAGCCCGCCCCCAAACAAGATTCCTCTCCTCATTTGACTTCCCAGAGACCTGTGGATATGGTCCAGCTTCTGAAGGTAAGCCTGGGCAGGGCCTCCCCTACCACCCTTCGAGCTTTGTGCTATTGTCAGTGTCCCGAGAGCCCCACTTGACTTAGATCAGCAAGCTGCTGCCTGGGGCCGTGGCCAGCACAGCTGTGTTCTCCAGCCGTGAGCTCACTTCTGTTTGTTTCCCTGTGAGCAGAAGTACCCCATCGTGTGGCAGGGCCTACTGGCCCTCAAGAACGACACAGCTGCTGTGCAGCTCCACTTCGTCTCTGGCAACAATGTCCTGGCCCATCGGTCCCTGCCGCTCTCTGAAGGAGGGCCCCCCCTGAGGATTGCCCAGAGGATGCGGCTGGAGGCCTCACAGCTGGAGGGGGTTGCCCGAAGGATGACGGTAAGACTCAGGGCCCAGGTGAGCAACTGCCCCGCCCACAGCAAGGGAAGGCACGGGTGGCCCCCCACTGCCTGTCTCCGTGGCTTGTCACGGGGTGCAATAATGGCTTTCTTGGAGGGGATGATGAAGGGCATGTCCTCTCTCCACTAGGGGTGTAAAGTGCCTCTAGATCCAGAGATGCTTTTTTTCATTCAGCAAATATATGGATGGCCCTCAGGGTCATCATAGAGGTGGGGATTGAGGAGCCGAATCACCTGGGTTGGACAGGCCTCTTCTTGGGCTGTTTTGTGAGGTGGCCCCCCGATCACTGACAGCTTCCTGTTCCCCAGGTGGAGACAGATTACTGTCTGCTGCTGGCTCTGCCCTGTGGCCGTGACCAAGAGGACGTTGTGAGCCAGACCGAGTCCCTCAAGGCTGCCTTCATCACGTATCTGCAGGCCAAGCAGGCGGCAGGCATCATCAACGTTCCCAACCCTGGCTCCAATCAGGTCAGCCCGGTGTCCTGCCTCGGCGCACACACGTGGGGCTGGTCTCGGCTGGTCAGGCCGTCTGACTGATCTGGTGGCATGGGCTGCCAGTGCCAGCCAGAGTAGTCAGGACAGCTTCCCAGAGGAGCTGGACAAAGGGGCATTCCGGATAGAGGAAACCGGTGGAGCGTGTGGGCCGGATTACTGCTGCCCGTCCTGGAGACAGTCAGTGGACGGCTGAGGCGGCAGAGGTTTTCCTTTAGCTTAAGGATAGAGAAGAAGTTCTCAGGGGTTAGTTTCATGTTAGTTCTCTGATACCTAGTTTTCTTCTGGTAGACAGTCTTGGAGACCTTAACTGGTTGGGAAATTGACTCAGCCTGGCTCTCTGTTGGGCCTTTGGGCCCCCCAGTTGGAAATGTTTTAGGGAAGAGTGGTAGTGGGGTGGGTGACGTGAAGACAGGAGGTCCCATTTTTCTCTCTTGTCCCTTTCTCCAGCCCGCCTACGTGCTGCAGATCTTCCCGCCCTGCGAATTCTCTGAGAGTCACCTGTCCCGTCTGGCCCCCGACCTCCTGGCCAGCATCTCCCACATTTCTCCCCACCTCATGATCGTCATTGCCTCTGTGTGAGCCACTGAATGGTCACCACTCGGCGTATCTTCCTGAGGCTCTGCAGCAAAAAATAAAACACAGGACAACCCAGCCAAGTGGTGGAAGAAGCTGCCGAGGGGGACAGACTCCACTGCCAGACGGCCAGCCTCGCTCTCCTACCCGCCCGCCCGCCCGCCCGGCTCAGTCAGACAGACCCCCGCCCTGGGCAGTGGTGCTGCTACTCGTATGTTTACATGACATTTAGCCCAAGGACAGACCACCAACCAATGGACTTGCAGACACCTTGAGGCTGGGTTTCTCTCTCCTCCTCTTGGAGAAAAGGAACAGGGCAGTGGAATTTTTTTGTTGTTTTTGTTTTTAAGAAACAAAACAGAACTGCCTTTGCACTAAATTAGTGACTTGGACTTTTGCACAGTGAAGACAGGCTGTGACACTCTGGATGTCTTGGTGTACGTGCACACACATGGCACACACATCGCAGACGCTCATGCAGGACTTCAGACTTCTGCTGAAACCTTGGGGTCAAGGAGCATTTCACTGGGCTGTGTTGTCCCCGCCCCTCCCTTCCCCTCGCTCATTTGGGTGCCATCGCTCTCTCATTCTCCTGCCGCCACCATCTTTGATTCACCCAGGATGTACAGTTTACAATCAGAAAAGAGCAAACAGAAGGATTTTCTCTCTTGGTGGAACATGCAGAACTTGGGATGTGTGTATATATAAATATATAATATATATAAATATATATAATACTGACTTAAAAATCAAATTCCCCGACATACATTTTTTTTAATCTGTGCCAAAAATGTGTTTTCAGAGAAAATCTTATTTTCATACTCAGACTTTGTATTGTCACTCATTTGTATAAGTGCGCTTCGTTACAGCACGGGCCCTGCTCCCGCAACTTGGAAGTGTCACACACACAAAAAGACTGTACAAAAGACTGGCTTCCCTTCTTCCTGTGACCTTGACCTCTCCCCCGACTTCCTAACACTTATTAATTTATGAAAACTGTTTTTCTCAGCGCAGTTTTGTTTTGTGTGTCCATTGGATTACAAACTTTATTAAAAAATACAGAACATGTCAAGTGTGGATGTGATTGTCGCTTGGATGGGAGGGCCAGGGGTCCTTGGCTTATGGGAACAGCTAGCCTTCGTCCCACTTTTGCTTTCAACCCCCCACCACGTCTGTATGTGGAACCTATTATTTCCTTTCTGCCACTGATCTTCCCAAGGATCATTTTATCTTGTACAAAAGAAGATTTTCATCACAGACTGAACTTGAACTGTTCTTCAGTGCTGTGGTGTTTATCTGACACTTCAAGGTCCCAGTTGGCTCCTGCGTAATGTCGAAGGCACTTCAAATTTGATTGATTAAAGAATAAAGCCACCTCCCACTCAAACTCAGAAACATCTTAAGGAAGCCTTGGGGTCTTGCCTCTTGTCCCTTCCTCCTCCGCGTGTGGTGCAGGCTGGCCCTGCAGCAGCTGCCTCCCAGTTGGCACTGGTGGGCCAAGCTTCCCCAGCAGCTGGACCCACCACAAGCTGGGGAGTTGGGCGTGGGGGACGGGAACACAAGGACCACAGAGTTGCTGGTCTCACTTGCAGTATCCCTGGGGCTCCTCCAAACAGAGCTATGCTTTCGGTGCGAGATGGTACCATCTCTGAGTGAGGAATTACAGGTGCTGGGGACAAGCTGTATGGAAAAGCGGCAGAGACGGCATCTCATGTCTCCCTGCTGACAGGTAAGAATGAGCTGCTTCACAGTCCGCACTGCTGCTCCTGGTTTAAGCAGTGCTGCCATCTCCCACCTCCCCATCACAGCTCCTGGCTGCTCATCCCTGTCCCTCCAGGCTCTCAGCCTTGTAGAGACGCCACTGATTCAGGGCAAGTAAACGTTCTCAAAAGATGACACTGGCTTGGCCCCGATCTTGCGGCCAGGGTGCTACCGTGAAGCGAGCGTGGAGCCTCTCCCTCTTCCCTAGGCCCAACAGAAGCAGGCCTGCGGCCTGTTGGGCCTGGTGCTCTGCCTACCTTGCTGTTCTGGCTGAATGGGCCCCCGAGCTGGGCTCTGTACGGGTGGCCTGGATCCCGGTAAGCAGTTGTGGCCAAGCCCTGTGGGCCCAGCTCCCAACACAAGGGCGCAGGGTCACAGCCGTGGCTCCACAGCGGAGGGAGGTGGAGAGGGGAGGTCCGATCCTCACGCCGAGCCGACGAGAAGCCTCCAAAGAGGAGGCCAGATGGGGCTCGTGGAGCCGCAGTTTCTCTGGCCTGAGTGTGCTGCCCACACCCCAACTCAGGCAAAGCAACTAGCTTGCTTCTAGACGGGTCCCGGGGCTCCAGTCCCATCCTGCAAAGGGACAGCCTGGCTTCCCCCACAAGCAGGTCTCTGCCGACTGGTCGCTGGGTGGAGCAACCCTTCCCCGGCATCAGCCACAGCTGCCAGCTCCCCGCCCCAGCCCCACAGGGAGCTATAGGCAGCGTTAGAAAATAATCAGGTTTATTCTCTCTAGGGAATGGGCTCACCCCTCTCAGTTCCAGGGTGCCGTCCAACCTTAAATAAACAGGAGAAGGGGGTGCCTGCTCACTCAGCAGATGGTGGACATTCAGGGGCTGTGGGAGGTGTCTCTGCCAGGGCCGGCTGCCCATCAGCCCCATCACGAGGGCGGAAGACTAGCTCCCCAGCCTGCAGCACCTGCCCGGCCGGCCACGTGCTGCCTGGCCCATACTGCTGGTAGAAGTCCGCATCCGTCTGGAACATGACCAGTGCCTGGGCCGTGTGGATCCGCACGTGCTGGGCCAGGCTGTTGGCATCCAGGAACTTATCTCCACAGGAGTCACAGGCGTAGAGGATGTGAGTGTTGGGATCTGTGGGAGTGGGGCTGCAGTTAGGACAGGAAGGGCCCCTGGGTCCAGCAGCTTTCCCCCAGGCAGGCCCTCTCACCTTCTTCCTGCACTTGCTTCACAGCTTTGCTGATCTCGGCTTTAAGTACTTCTGTCTCATCTGCGGTCACCGCCGCCCCCACTGGCACCACTGTGGGCGGCATCGGCAGAGCCTGAGACCAGACTCACCTGCCCCTTTGCTGCCACCCCAGAGGCAACCCCTGCTGTGACCACCCCCTGCTGCCCTGGGAGCTGAGTGACGGTCCGCACCTGTGAGCTGAGTGACGGCCGTTGCCGCCAGTGCCTCAGTGGCCAGCGTGACCATGTCATCGACGGTGACCACGCTGACCTCACCGCCCTCCTCTGGCTCCAGGATTTTGATGCCTGCCTTGCCCTGGTGCACAGTCTTCACATGGGAACGAAGGTTGTCCACCCGGTTGAAGCCGCGACCGCACTTGTCACACAGGTAAGGCTTCTCTCCTGGGGGGGGAGGCAAGGTTCTCTCCTGCCATTGGGGGGGGGTGCAGGGGGGGGTAGGACCTCAGTGGCCTCCAGCTTCCCCCGCAGCCCTGTCTCTTCCAGCAGGAAGCGCTCTGGGGCGGCCACCTGAGGCACAGGGAAGCTTCCAGTGGCCCCTGCACCTTCCAGAAGCTCTGAAAAAATGGGGCCCTCCTTGGAGTTAAACTGCTTTCAAGGCCGCCTTCAGCAAGTGCCGGCACCGAGGGCTGGGGTCCGGGGTGCCTCCCACCCCACCACGCGCCCCAGAGCCAGGGCTTGGGACAGAGAGGCGGGTGGCACGCACTCACCAGTGTGGATAATGATATGCTTGGACAGGTCCCCCACGTTCACGAAGGCCTTGCTGCACACGCTGCACTTGTGAGGACGGATGTTGTCATGGTGGCGGATGTGATTGGCCAGCTGACTAGACTGGACAAATCTGCAGGGCCAGAAGGAAAGGCTTACACAGAACCGCCCAGGCCTGGGCCGGGGGTGCTGGGCTGGGGCCTCCCACCTCAGGGTCTAGATCCGAGAGGACGCCGGGACCTGCGCCGGAGCAGTCTGCCCGGCTACCGACCGAGCCCTGGGCTTATTCTCTGACCCCCTCCACCCAGCCGAGTGCCAGGACCCCACAGGACGCCGGCCGGGGGCCGGAAGGGCAGGACCTCTTTCCGCAACGCTCGCAGACGTAAGGCTTCTCCCCGGTGTGCTGGCGCACGTGGGCGATGAGGGAGCTGGCCTGGGTGAAGGCTTTGCCGCACATCACGCACTGGCATGGCTTCTCACCTGGGGACGGAGGCAGGGGACGGGAAGGTGTCGGCGCCTGCTCTCCTCCCTTGTGCCCGCACCCGGGCGCCGCCGGGCCGCTCACCCACCCGTGTGGATGCGGACGTGCCGCTGCAGGGCGCCGGGGTCAGCGAACTGCCGCTGGCAGTGGACGCACACGTAGGGCTTCTCACCACTGTGAATCCGAAGGTGCCGCTTCAGGTTCCCTGTGGCGAGACCGAGGGTGGGCCTGGCACTGGCGCCCGGGGCCGGGGGCGGGGGCGGGGCCGGGGGCGGGGCCAGCCGGGCCCTACCTGAGGTGGTGAACTGCTTCCCACACTCCCGGCACTTGAGGGGCCCGTCGGCGATGTGGATCTTCAGGTGGGCCTTCAGGTTCCCCACCTGCGCCCAGGCAGGGGGTCAGACGGCAAGGAACCACCGATTCTCGGTCCTCCCGGGGGCCTGTGCGGGGCTCCCCCTTTCCTCAAGGCCGGGGGAAATGGGAACACCACCCCCCTCAGTTCTTCCTGGCCCGCGCCCGCCCCCCAGGCCTGCCTTCCCAGTTTGCTCGGCAGAGCAGTCAAGAGCTCCACCCGGCAGGATCATTTCCTGCTCAGCCAACACCACCTACTTCCCTGCTAGGCACCCCGGGCCCCGAGACGGAAGCCGCCGGAGCACAGGGGCCCGGGGCCGGCTCCCCCCACCTGGTTGAACTTCTTGTCGCAGTGAGGGCACTTGTGCTCCTTGTCGGTGTCGTGCGTCTCCAGGTGGCGCATCTTGGACGTGGGGTCGGAGAAAGAGCGGCCGCAGTAGTCGCACTGGTAGGGCTTCTCGCCGCTGTGCACCAGCTGGTGCCGCTTGAGGTTGCCCGACGTGGTGAAGAGCTTGCCACAGTCCTCGCAGCGGTAGCGCGCCTCGCCTGAGTGCCGCTTCTTGTGCAGGTTCAGCAGGCTGATGAGCCGGTAGCTCTTGCCGCACTCCTCGCAGCCGTATGGCTTCAGCGGGCTGGCGGCAGAACACGGGGACAGGAGGCTCGCAGGGCTCGCGGGGCCGGGGCGGGTGGGCGGGCATGGGGGGCGGCCGCTGGGCCTACCTGTGGGTCTTCTCGTGGGCCTTGCAGGCGGCCGGGTCGGAGAAGGCCTTGCTACACTCCCGGCACGAGAAGGGCTTCTCGCCCGTGTGGATGCGGATGTGCCGCTTGAAGTTGCCCGTGTGCGTGAACTCCTTCCCACAGTCCTGCGGGCAGAGGGGGCGGGGTGTCAGGGGCGACGCCGGGCGGGGGGCCGGGGTGGGGCCGCCACTGCCCAAGGCGCACCTCGCACTTGTGGATGACGGAGCCGTACGCCTTGGACTCCGTGCGGTCGCCGTAGGTGCCCGAGCGCAGGCCCCGCGCCTCCGCGCCGAGCTCCTGGCCCGAGTCCGTGCTGGCCGACTCCTCGCTCTCCTCGGGGGCCTCGCCCTTTTCCAGCGGCGGCCCCTCCTCCTTGACCACCGCGGGCACGGCGCCCTCCTCCTCTCGTTCTTCTCCCTTCCTGGCTGGCTCCACCTCCATTTCTGCCACAAGAGGGGCAGACGCTGAGGAAGCCGACCTGGCAACTGGCCAAGTGAGGCCTGGGCACGGCTCATCTCTGCACACACCCTCTCTCTGCGTGGGCGCCTCGCAGGGGCAGGGCAACGTCTGGGACCCGCTGATAAATGGTCCCCAGCACCGCCAGGGCAAGCCCAGGGGAGACCAATGACCGGGACAGTTGCTGCTTGGAGGACGCAGATGGGCCTCAGTCCACCGGGGGCCCCATATTTGGCGACACAGGTGGGAAGGGTACCGTCAGCCAACAAGCACCGGGGGCGGGGGCTGGGGTGGGTGCCATGGGCGGCCAGGTTCCGCCACGGTGCTCAGCCCAGGGAAAAACAGCAGGGCCAGTACTGCGACAAGGACACTTCTGTGCTAAAGGGAAGCATGGCCAGGGCGTACAACCAAGAAACTGATGTCAAAATTCAAGAATGAGGAAAGATGTCGGCCCAAAAGCTGATGTGAAAGACTGACTCACAGTGAGATCAGCTAAGGGAGGAAGAGAGCTGGCGGAAGGGGGGTGTGTGTGTGTGTGTGTGTGTGTGAGAGACGTGTGAGTGGGGACGCTTGCGTGAGGGAGGGCGCCCCAGCTGGCAGAGGGTACCTTGCTCTGAGCTCTCCGACAAGGCAGCCTCGGCCTCAGCAGCAGCCATGCCACTCGTGGGGTCCGGCTTCAGCTCCACAGGCTCCCGGGGGGCATCGGCCTTCTCCGTCTGCTCTGCACCTGGGGTAGGGGTGTGGGGGCATCCGGGGCTGGACTGGCACCCTCTGTCCAGGGGCTGGTCGGCTCTCCTGGACCAGACCCCTGGAAGCGGCTATGGCCCCAGGGGTGGGGGGAGCACATCCAAGCTCGGGCTGCTTGAGCCTCTGCTCTGGCTTCAACAGATGCCCCAGAAAAAATAACCGGTGGTTTTGGGTAACCTGAGCTCAAGGGATGCAGTTGCCTGTGCCTCCCTCCCCCAGGAGCCTCCTGAGAAAGCTGCTCACTGCGCTGGAGCCCACGCTGCTGGCAGGTGATGGACAGTCAGCCAGGTCCTCAGCATCACAACTCACCGCTGGCCGCGCTCTCGGCCTGGCCGCCTCGCTCCTCTTTGGGCTCCCTGCCCAGGCCCGCGGGTGGACTGCTTCTGGCCAGGTCCAGCTCGCTCAGTGTAGTGGCAGCCGTCTTCTCTTCTTTGGCCCTCTTGTCCCCCACTGGAGGTGGAACAGGACAGACCTGCCATTTCCCATCAAGTGTCCACCACTTGGCGGGGTGAGGTGGCCCAGAGCTGGCAGCTCTTCCAAACCTCCCTGGGGATACGTCTAAGGAGCGGCTTGTTGGCTTGCTCATTCAACAGATTATTCACAGGCACCGACATCACACCAGGCTGCCGCCGGGCCTGGGGTACAACGGTCACGGTTGCTGCTCCCACGGGGCTTGCAGACTGGTCGGGGAGACAGTTGTCACACGTGAAATGACTCTGAGCAGAGATGGGTGCTTACAAGGAGAGGAGCGTGGTTCTCTGAAAGTGTGCCACAAGGCACGTGGCCCACACTGGGCCGCAAGGGGCCTTCCTGAGGCACTAAGGGGAGCAGGAGTAAGCGTGTGGGAGAGGAGACCTGCCGGAAGAGGGAAGTCCTGTGCAAAGGCCTTGAGCCAGGCATGGCTGCCGGTGCCCTCAGTCAGGGAGGGCAGACGGGGCCCCTCTGAGAGGCGTTCTCAGACTTCACTGCAGCTGCTCCTCACGAGCTCCCCACAACACAGGCGAGGCCAAAGAGGTGACACAGAGAGGCGGGGGCAGAGCTCCCATCAGAAGCCACCTGCTCAGGAACAGCCTGCCAAGAATCTTACCTTCCAAGGCCGAGGACTCCATACTCTCCCCAGGGCTGGCAGCCGGCTCAGCCAGTGACTTGAGGGCATGGCAGGCCGTGATGATGTCCTGCATCTGCAGGAAGCTGGCCACAGCCAGCACATCGTCCACGTTCTCAGAGCTCAGGCTCAGCTTGGCCGTGTACATAAACTCCAGCACCTGCCCCAGGCCTGCCAAGGACACAGACAGCCATCACGGACCCACCTCGAGGCCTGGCCCCAGCAGCCTGTCCAGCTGCCCCACTCCGTGGCAGGATCCAGGGATTTGTGAAAAGCAGCGGGGCAGTGGCAGCCCACTGTCTCCCCATCTCCCGTGCCAGTGGAGAGGCGGGCAACCTGGAGATTCTCAACCCAGACAACAGCCTCCAAAAAGCAGCACACCCATAGAGGGCGGAGGGTGTGAGTGCCCACCCTGAACACTCTCTGCCCATCCACTGCACTTCACCACCAGAGGACAGAGCCTCTCACCACTGGCTTTCATCAGGGCTCTGCCACAAACTCTCTACCTGACCTCCAGGCCAGTCACCTGACCTCTCTGGGCCTCAGTTTCCGCATGTGTAAAATGGGGGAACGACACCTTGCCCGAACTTCTGGCGGCATGGCACGTCATTCTGGGTTGGGAACCTGAACCTAGGACAGTTAGTTCCTTCCTCAATCCCAGGACCTTCCTGACACCCCTCCCCATCCTAACCCTTGCCGTTCCCATCAAGGTGAGCACTGGGGTAGGGGGTTGAGGACTGACTCAGCAATGGAAAGGGACCAGGGCTCAGAGCCCTCCCGCTCTCTGTCCCTCCTGACGAGCTTGTCCTGTGTTCACTCCGGAGCTTATCATGAGCCCTTCCTGCCAGCTCTCCCCTTACCACCCCACTCCCAGTCAAAAGAGGCCCCACAAATGTGGTAAGAACTTGGTACCCACGCACTCATGGTCGAGTCTTGTGTGGGAGGTCTGGCGCACCCCACAGCTGGAAGGTGCTGCTCAAAGGAGGGCCTCACGTGGCACGGGGCCCGCCACAAGCTCGGCCCTGGACCCAGTGGGGTACCTGCCGCGTTACTGATGTCCAGGTGCACCACATCCTTCTGGTCCACGAAGAGCATCTTGAAGTACTCGCTGCAGGCCGCCAGCACTGCTTTATGAGCCTTAAAGTCAACACCATCCACCACAAAAGTGCAGTCACACAAAAGCCCCAGTTGCCGCTGCTGGTTCAGCTGCTCCAAGACATGCTGGCTGTGCTGGGGAAAATCCATGGCTGGGGAAAGCCACAGAGCCCTCGAGTTAGCACGAGGGAGGACACCAACCAGCCCCAACAGCAATCCCAGCACTCCCAGGTGAGAAGCAGGGGGATGGGTGGGAGGGTGAAACCAAATCCACACAGGGCAGGTGCCTCTGCAGGCCCAGACCGACGGGGGGTGGCTTCTAGATTCCTGTGCTAACTGGTCAGGAAAGTTCCAAAACGCAAGAAGCATGGAGGGACCAACACAAAATAGCCACCTTTGTGCCTTGCCAGGTAATGACATTAAAAAATCAAAAACCAAGCACACACAAAACACTGATTACTGTCAGCATTTCAAAAAAAGAAAAAGACACGGTCGCTTAACTTTTTTATTACAAAAAGAATGCATGACATAATCTTAGACCAAAAGACAGATCTTTCTCGACTGGATAGATCTGGCTTCATGAAAACCTTTCTATTTTGTTCTTATTTTTCTCAGTTCGTCACGTACAGGTGAAATATGCACTTGGGAAGGCAGACGTTTCATCATCCAGCATTTCAGGAATCAGCCCCTCTCCCGCTGCATCCACAGGGGTCTGTGCAGGTTCCCTTGTCCTCGGCAAAGCCTGGCCCTCGGGGGTGAGGATCCATCTCTCTCCCCCACTTCCCCAACCTCTGATTCATGGGCTCAGGGAACTACACGAGAGCTGGTGAGCCTTCTGCGTCCAGAAACCTCTCTAGGCTGTCCCTCGAGAAAGAATGAACTCCGACCCTGAGGCCTGGAGTTGCTGGCCTGGCTGCAGTTTCTCTGTCAAAGGCCTCACTTGCTGCCTGGAAATTTCACAACTGTCTCAAGTAAAAATGCTCACAAAAACTCCATGGCCTGGTGCCGAATCATCCTGAACTGCACAAGCCAGGCCTAAGTTAAGTATCTAAAACGGCTCTCCCCTCCCCCTCAACACCACACCAGAGCCAGTCTCAGGATCGGCATTTTCTAGGGAAAAGCAGCAGACTCTCCTTTCAAGAAAGAACCAATTTCTAAGTAAACGTCAGTGCCCACTCCTGGAACCACATTACATAGATCCAACCAGGCTGGGCTGTCACGCCTTGGCCTGGAATCTGATAAGTGGCAGTGGTTTCTCTTCCAGTTCTTCTAGAACTTTTCCTCTGAGGCCTGGGTCTGCTCAGAGCTGCCCCAGGTGGTTTCTGGGCAGGTGAGCATGACCCTGGGAGGCTCTCGGCCTCCAGGTTTCAACAGCCACTCACTGGCTCCGGCTGTTCCCCTGTTACATCAGCCTCTCGGGGCTGAGTCACCACGCTGCAGCTCTGGAGCTGCAGTGACCATGTATGGCTGTCTGGCTGTGATGAGACATAACGAAAGCCACGCCCCCGCCCACGTAGCTTAGCCAGCACAGATCGGCTTTGAAGGATGCAAAGCCCACCCACCCATGGTGTCTGGAAACTTTTCACAAGTGGAAGGGTGTATTTGCTGAACTGGGAGAAGTCACCGAGTAGGTGGGTAGGGCTCCATCAAGTAAGAGGGGACAGGCAGTGGCAACAGGCCGTGTGCTATGGGGTGCCAGCCCCTGAGTCATGAGTTCAGAGTTGCTGCTGCTGGAGACTTGAAAATACCCTTTGTCTCCCTCCAATGTCCCCAGGACGGTCCTTTGGTCCCAGCCTCCACACACAAGCTCCCAGCCAGAGGCACGGTTTCTTGGACCGCTCAGATCATAAGTGGCTGAGGCGCAAGCTCTCGTATAAGCAGGGGAGCGCCGGAAGCCAGCCCTGGAGTCAAGAGGTCAGGCGCAAGGCGGCTGGGCCCGCTGCGTCTGCTGAACCACCTGCTCGGTTACAAACCAGCCGGCACAGCACCGAGCTGCCGGAGCAAAGGCTGCTACTGACCAGGACACCCCATGAAGGCATCCTCCTCTAGGTCTTCAGTTCCTAGAAAAAGCAAGTTCTCATTCGTGACCTCGAGGGATACAAGGGAGAAGTTCGGCTGTTCTGTTCCTGAGCAGGTCAAAGCTAAAACAGAGAAGTTTTGGAGGACATGGGAAAGAGCCAGTGTACAGCCTGTAGGGTTAAACAGGCAGGCTGGGCACTTAGGCCTAGGACCTAAAGGGGGTACACACAGGCAAGGTGTAAATGGAACCAAAGGCAGGTGGCAAGGAGAGGCCTGGGCCAAACCGACCTGAGCTGTCTTCTCTCTGCTGTGGAAAAAGCCACGTGAGCAGACAAACGTGTGCACGTGTGCATGGGCAGCCCCTGAGCTCCCATCACCAGTTCACCCTCTTTGTCCTCAGGTGAAATACCCTCCAAGTGCAGAAAGGGAGGGGCCACCAGGGCCCACAGGTGCCTTCTCAATCAGCTGCAGAATAATCCCCTTCAGAACTTCCCAATCAGATCCAAACTCTTCCCTCCTGGCAATGGGCCTGGCTCCCTCACCTTCACCAGGAGCCAACCCAGGAACTGAACTGGGAGGAAGAACCTCCCAGGCTCAGGAACAACTGGGGAGCACTGGCTGAGCACCCATGCCCTGTGCACCCCCCCCACCCCCCGCCACCGCCAGGTACAGAGTTGTTCCCAGGCCCCTGGGCTGGAGCCTGCCGAGAACAGAACCCTCCAGCCAGAAAGCGATCTGACTTGCTGGGAAGACAAACATGAGAAAAGACTCCTGGCCAACAGGGTGGAAGGGACCTACCAGCTCCAAGGTCAGGTGGTTACTGGCCTTGCCTGGGACCAAGGCTGAGAGGAGCCCTGCGGGGGGAGGGGGGACGACACATCAGGACGGGGCGCACTCACTTCCAGAGGCCTTGGGAGAAGGCTGGTACAGGTCCCTGCGAGAGGGTGGGCGGTGGCCCAGCACCCCAGCCCCTCCCCCCCCAAACACGGGGGAGCAGCTGCGCGCCACAAGTAATGTTTTCCACCCAAAGCTAACTGCAGTGTTCTGATGCGAGATGCCCGCCCAGAAGTGGGCTCCTCCCCAAATGTGGGTGTCGGGAGAACACCAGAGGCTTCTGGAATCCCTCTGAAGCCTCCAGAGCTGTTCCAACGAGAGAAACATCTCTTCTGACAAAACCAAAGAAAGAAATGGACGAGAGAGAAAACACACGGGGATAAGAGGGAAGGAGGAAGCAGGGAAGGATGGGGCAAGTAGGGAGAGGAACTAGAAGGAAGGAAGAAGGGAAAAAAAGGCCATCCCCACAAACAGATAAACAGCGCTAAAACATGCACTCACAAGCCCCATCTTGTGACCGGCCCCCCCAGGGGGTGTGAGGGCCCTTGGGGGGCTTGCTGAGTGCTAAATGGTGTCACTTGTCAGCAGCACCCTGGATTTTATAATCGCACAGCCCCCCGGGGCAGTGGAGCTCAGAGCCCCCAGGCTGTCGTCCGGTGCTCACCCACTCACCTCCCCCAGCTGCTTGCCTGCTACAAAGCTCCAACAGCCCCTCTCTTCTCCCCAAGACAGTGCGGTGAGCCGGTGAGGGGTCAGCCGGCTCGGTCCTCCCCTCAGAGGGGCTGAGCTAGAAGCAGGCCGTGCCCCACCTCCAAACCTAGGTGAACTGTTGTTCTAGAATGAGCATGCAGTCCTCTGACTGTCTCCTCTTTTACACTCTACAGTGAAAGGAACCCACCAGGATCTGGCCAAGCTTAGAGGGGACCAGGAAAAGAGGTGAGCGCGTGGGGCAGGATGCACCTGCCTGGGCCACACAGAGGGACATGCGGGCCCCAGGGGCGGGCGGCGATGTGGGAGCCGCGTCCCGAGTGCACGCAAGGAGGGAGCGTTGTCTGAGGAGACCTGAATACAGTAACAAGATCAGCAGCCAGCCCGCTGCTCATGACCCGTGGCGGGGATCAAGTGCGGTTCTGCCGGCCCGCCCGCGGTGTGCGGTGCCCTCCGCTAAGCACGAGAGTCGGGTCCCCTCCTCCTCGTTTCATCTTGCTTCAAGGGTGCTACGTGTGGGCCTTAGTTAAAGCTCCTTCTAAGAAAGACCCCCAAAACATAGCACAACAGAAAACTCACACAGAACTAGACCGCAGAGCCCATCGAGCCCAAAGCCCTCGTGTTTCCGACCAACTCCGGCCTGCGAGCGGGCACCTTCCATGACACTGCCGTCTGCTCGGTCCATATCCCTGACTGACGGGGCAGACCTCGGTGTCAGAGGTGGGATGCTCCCCTGAGGACAAGCAGCCTAGCTGGACACAAGCCCTGGCCAGCCTCACAAGGAATTCATTTGGGAACGAAAACATGAGGGACCTGGGGAAGCCCTGCAGTGCGGATGCAAAGAGGAAACCCGGACATGGATGTGCGGGCGCCGTGGGCTCAGTCTCTGAGGATGGCCGCCAACAATCCGTCCCATCCGACCACACCTGCCGTGAGACTCCAGCTGAACCCGGGCGGCCCTGGGATGACTCTGACCAGCAGGATGCAGTGACTCTGTGCCAGTTCCAGGCCTGGCCCTTAAGAGGTCTGGAAGATTCTGCTTTGCTTTCTTGGAACCCGGCCACCCCACTGCAGTGACGGCCGGGCGCTCCTGTTGCGGGGGAGAGGACACATGGAGGGGCCCTGGAGGAGACACCAATGTGCACGGGCCCCCTGAGGAAGAGCCGAGATGCCCCAGCTGACGGCACCAGGGCTCCAGCCCAGCCACCGGCTGAATGCTGGCACGCGAGTGACCTCAACACCTTGTAGAACAAAAACAACTGCCCAGTCGACCTACAAAATGGAGAGAAATAATAAACTGCTGATGGTTAAAGACACTAAGTTTCGAGGTGGTTTGCTTACAGCAAGAGATAACTGATACAGATGGTAAAACTGTAAAGCAAAGGGGATGAGTGACAAACCATTTGAGGGCAACAGTTCTCTCTGGACGGGAGGGTCCTCTGAGACACTGGGGGTGCTCTATTTCTTCATTTGGATACACCTAGGTTTATTAGTTAAATATGTGCATTTCATATACTTTTATACGGAAAATTTTTCAAAATTTAACAAAATTTGTAATAAGAAAAAAGTGAGGTAAAAGTGCCACACTCAA